ACTTTTTGACGGGTCCCCACAGACGGCGCCAATGAAGTGAATAAATTTCACCCGGGCTCCTTCAACTCGAATCGGCCTCCGTACCTGCAGAACCCAACGTCGGGGGTGGCCCCGGCGTCGGGCCTCCGATGCCTAAGTCAGTGCTCAGATCAAGAGAGATAAAGTGTAGTAATGGAATGAAGAGAGGATGAGAGAATGAGGTACCTTGGCCCCCTTTTATAGGGGGAGTGTACCTTTTGGGCCCAAGTTAGGCCTGACTCGTATCGTTGTGCACTTGGGCTTAGATGTCTTAGTGGACTTATCTTCCAATATGTATCGGCTTTATCCATTAAACCGGGTCCAGTATAATATCCTATATCAGGGGACTAGATGATGTAGCACAAGAGAGCACTTGGAATAGACCGGCAGAAATCAGCTCGGTTTATGAGCTAGAAGTATGTTGCAGGATTGTGGATCAGTTAGATGCAATAGTCTGTCAATGAACGGGCTCGGCCCAATCACAAGTCGGCCAGGTGAATGGGTCAGGTAGGTTGAAGAAGTGGGCTAACACTTAAATGGACTGGGTAGTTATCATATCAGCGGATAAAGGAGTAAGCGTGGAGAATAAGTTAAGGACTTGCATATAAATAAGTAAAGCAGGTACGATGAGAGGGCTAAGTTTCTTTGCCTCACAAAACCCTAATATACAGACTTAACTTTTCTCGATACCCTACTAACTTGAGCGTCGGAAGTTTACCGCCGGGAACACTTCCCGGCGTGTTTGCAGGTTTTGAAGGGCTCAAGCGGCTGGATTCAAGGGAAGCCGGTCCAGTGTGCAAAAGCACATCACCACACGACAATTTTTAAGTGGAATTTGATATATTATAAATTTCTACAACACCAATAATTGAGTAAAATTTCGAAATCTAACAAATTTCTTATTAGGGATACGAGGATAGAGAAACGTCTTTCGGATTGAAAACACTGATAATTTTGAAAATTTCATAATATAACACGTTCAAGATGTGAAATAATAGTAGTTGAGTACTTAGTTGTGTCCATGATGCATCCCAAAAGAGTGTTGTTCCATATTACCACACAAGTGATACCATTGACAATAATAATCTTCAAACAACAATCAGTTCTCCTTGTTCCAAGCAAAAAGATCGACAAATCCTTCGACCAAACAATATGCAAAATATGAGCAAGATCATAAAAAACAAGAAAACAAAGTTTATCTGCATCCCAAATTAGTTCTCCCTTCATCATTGATAGTCTTATTTACACACAGCTTCTGCAAGTCGATGTAACCAATAATGGTGTCCTCGAAATCCACATCTCCAAGTTGAGCCTCGTCAAAAGTCGAACCTGAAAGAACTGTGTTCTTAAACACCGCTCCTTCCAGATTGGCTTTCCCGAAATTTACACGGTCCAAAACAGCATTTGAAAAGTTTGTGCCTGAAAAAAAAAAAGAAAAAAGGACGAAAATCGGGAGTGACTTTAAATTGTAACATGACTTTTGTGTTTGTACTGTAAGGATAGGCCTAATGCTTTGCAACATCATAAAATATGCTGAAATCTTGAGAAGGAGCTAATGTTAATTATAACTACTAGAGTAAGATTGTCAAGCAAACAGATATTGGAAATGTTGTGGCAAATGGAACTTCGCCCTCAAAAGTACCTTTGTGCGTTTGTGTTTTACCGATTGAACTTTGACAATGTGCATTTTGCCTTGAAAATCATTCTTTGCAACTTACCTGGGCAGCCAAAGGTTGGTATGCCTGAGTTAAGGATGTGTCCTAGAACACACGACCGAACATATTTACACTTCAGCACACAAAATGCAAAACTCACCGAAAACGGTTGTGATGGTTGGTCAATAGAAACACACTAAAAATGCATTGTGTGGATGCAAAAGTCAAAAACAATGAGCACAGGAAAAATTCAAAATGGGCACCCCTTTACCCTGCTTTTGAACTCTAAATAAACTGTCAATAACGATAAAAAACATCAACTGTCAGCAACTAGAAACACTAAAGACCATGATAAGTTTTCCCAGCAACAAATTGGAATCACTTTCTTAAAACATCTGTAAATACTCCGTGTTAATATAAAGCTTCGGTTAATTTTCTCCAAAGCAGGGTGTCAAGAACTGAACAGAATGCAACCAAGCCTAAGGTAAGGAAGTACAAAGACCGTAGAGTCAGGGGCGAATCTACACTTAGTATTAGGGGGGCAATTGCCCCCCTCAGATTTTAATTTCTTTTACTATTGATATTAATAATTTTAATTTGCACCATTCTCTCTCTCTTTAAATATATTTTTGCACCTCCAGATTTTTTTATTTCAAAAGTCACTTACCATACCAACTTGTCCACAATTATCAATTAACAAATCAACAATTTTTTTTATTTTACTATTAATTTTGAGATTTTCATTCTACAATTTTAATTGGCCCATATAAAAGACTTCAACTCTTTTTTATTGTCCATGCTAGGACTGGTATTTTTTGACCGAAAACCTGAAACCGAACTGAATCGAACCAAACTAAAGAGAATAAACCGAACCGAACCGAACCAACTTATGTGTATCGGTTACCGAAATGTTATCATTTCGGTATCGGTTTTGAATCCATTATGTTTTGTTTTTTACCCCCTCTCAATTAATTTTCTGGTTTCGCCCATGCGTAGAGTCTCGTAATTCACCAAAATATCTAGTTCAAACTACCAAAACAAATTCAAAAGAAAAAAAAAAGAAACAAGAAATTCCTTACATAAACTAAAATAACCAAAAAATAATGATAATGTAAGTGAAGGTTTTTAAAACCAAAACAATAAAGCATTACCCTTAAAACTTGCTCCAACTGCATAAGCCTTTGACATAATAACCTCGGTCATGTCAGCCCCATCAAACTTGGCATCAGACATGAGAGCCGCAGCCAGAGACTTCCCCTTGAGGTTTGACTTGTCGTTAGTGTAGTCACAAAATCGGAGGTCGAGTGGTTTGTCGTAAACTCCATTGGCTTGCCCAATTGTGTTGCCCACGAATGCACGCTCGCATCTATTTGGTTCCGTTGACAGAGGCGGTAGCCTCTGGAGTAAAGATTAAAGGTTAAGCAATAATTAGGTAAATATCAAACCTACATTTTGGCTATACAGTTATCGAACTTTGTAAATAGAGTTCTGCAGTTCTTCCAAATGTACACTACCAAACAAAATAAAAAAATTACATTTGATCAGGTTTAATCAACAAATTTTTATTATTCTAAGCATTTCAAGATCATGTTACCAAAACCATGTATGAAATATGGTATAACAACTTGTACCAACAAAGGGTTTCTTGAAATTTGACCTGATTTGCAGCAATGACAGGTGAAAGAGAGGTCACAGCCCAAACAGCAAGAACCCCACAAGCCACGTTCCTAAGTTCCTTAAATTTGCATATAATATCTGCAGATTTATGGGGACAATCCCTTGTAGCTGCAAAAATTTCTATTGACATTAAATACTAAACTTTTTCACGAATAATAAGGAAAAAAAAATTAAAAAAATATACTTACACGAACATCTTACTTGGGCTGGCAAGTGCAGATCTTGGACGCCAATTTTATGTTTGGTTGAGTTTGTGCCGAAAGAGAAAGTTCTCTGTTGGATAGGAAGGTAGAGAGTTGCCATTCTTCACTTGTCTTTGTGTGGGTTGTCTTAGGCTACTTATCCATCTTACTGGTGATGGTATTTCTCGAGAGAATACAATATGCATTTTTCTATGTATGTAACATGCTACCTTGTTCGGTTTTCTTCTTGGTAAATATTATCTCATGCTTCACCGGATCAAACTGGTGGGTTCGACCGATTGGACCGGAAACGGGCCAGTTGATCGATCTGGTTTGTTAGAATGAACCGGCTGCTAGAAAACTTGTTGAAAATCAATCAATGACAAGTTGAACCGTCAAAATCGGCCTAAACGTCCGGTCAGACCGGTTTGAACCTGCCCAGTTTTTATTTTAAATATATTTGACATATTTAAAAATATTTATATGAATAAAAAATTCATATTTAAATATAATAGATATATATAAGTTATTATCAGTTAGTTTAAGTATTTGAATGTTTTAAATTGGCTTACTATTATCGGCTTTTTCTCTATTATTGGCGCCGAACTTTGGGGTTTGTTTCAAGGGCTACGGTTGGCTTGTGATATAAGGGCGCGTAAGGTGCAGGTTGAGGTCGATAATAAGAGTATTGTTGACATGGTGCAGCAGGGTTCTCACTCCGGGGTTGCCTTTTGAATGGAATTACGGAGCTTTTGGGTCGCCAATGGAAGGTGGAGATCCGTCATGGTTACCGGGAGACGAATTTTGTGGCGGACTTTTTGGCTTCCTTGGTGGCCAAGGGACCGAGCGGTTTTTATGCGTTGGCGAGTCCTCCACCGGGAGTAGGCATGTGGTTGCTTCATGATCAGGCTGGGGTGTCATATCCTCGATCGGTTCCTCCTTAGGCAGTAGCCTCCTTCTTTGTACCATAAAAAAAAAAAAAATGGCTTACTATTTAATTAATAAAGTTTTATACAGATTTCATATATAAAATATTATATATGATTAAAATGTTAATAATTAAATACTAGACCAACCGGTTTAACCACTGTCGGACCAGTGAACCATTGAATTAGTAGCTTGATCAATTCGATGACTGGTCTAGTTTTCATAACCTTGGTAAATCTAGTTTCTAAACTAGCTGCTTATAATGGAATTTCGAGTATATAACTTATTAGTTTATAGCTTAAGACTAAAAATCAAGTTGATATGATAATCATGTTTGGTAAAATTACCTAATAAGGCATCTGAAATAAAATTTCAACGAATTTATTTAAAAGCTACCCAAAGAAGCTTATGATACAAGGTCGAGTTTATATAAACGTTCGCCTTCAAAACCAAGCTTATATGCATACAAAAAGTTTATTCTTATTAATGAGCTCAAACTTATATCATAAGCTTCTTTGGATAGCTTTTAAAATAAGCCCGTTGAAATTTTTATCAGCTCGTTTCAGCTAATATTTAGCAAACACTTTTATCATATCAACTAGCTTTCAAGTCATAATCTATCAATTATAAGCTTGAAACTCACTTATCAGTTATCAACTATCTAATCAGCTATCAGCTACCTTATCAAAATGATCACTCCAATTTTATCAAATTTAAATTTAATCCACTACAAAAATAATGTTATACTCCAACGAAAAATCCTACGATAATAAATATTCAAATGGAAATTCCAAAAGATATTCCAATGGTATAGCTTCCATTGGAATAATTTCAACGGTAACTCCAACAAAAATATTCCATTGAAATGTGCTATCTATTGGAAATTTAGATGGAACTTGATGATTCAAACGACTATTTTTCCAACAGCTTTTTACCGTAGGATTTTCAGTTGGAATGTGCAATTTCCGTTGGATTTTATTTCCACCCCCGTTGAAAAATCTACTGTTGGAATCGTCAAAATCTAACAAAAATTTCAATGAAAAACTCATTCTAATGGAATATTTTTGTTGGAATTTTCGCTGAAATCCATTGAAAACTTCCAACGTGTAGTGCCTCGTTCGAATAATAAGAGTTGGTTTATTTTATTTATTGTACTTGCATTGTAACGCCTAGAATATTAGTTACTATTTATGGAACTTGACTTTATTTCAATAAATAGTCAGTTTCCTTATTGATTTATTTGATATTATTATTTGCATTAAATTGAATAATTAGTATTAAAGTCTAAGCCATGGAGAATCTATTCGATTTTAATTATTAAAGTCGAATTTAATTAGCCCAAGTGTCGGTTGTATTTTTAAAACCGAGCATTTGATTAATCGAGATTATATTAAAGCTAATCAAAGCCGAATAATTTATTATTTGAGACCTATCAATTCCGAGCGAATCCAATTATTCTAGTCGGCCCCATTAAGTTAAAGAGCCCAAGTTCAATTTTATTTTAGTCTATTTTAAAATCGAGCATATCGTCGATTTTAATTCAAGTCTACCGATTAATTTAATTAGTCCGATCTTGATTAATTTTATAAAATCAAACACTTAATTTCCTAAGTCTATGACGAATTTTTTTATATCCGAGCCCAACTATTTTAGTAACTTTAACCGACTAATTAATTTGTCCAAGTTTCGCTACCTTTTAAATTGATTGAACATTTAATATCTAGCCCGATTAAATGCTCGATTTTTAAGCCCAAGTAGAGAAACCCTTAAGCCCAATGCTACAAGAAAAACTGCATTTGGCGACGCTTATTTTTTTGTTTACTGATGCTTATTTTTTCTGACATCAAATTTAGCAACACAACTCGCCAATAAGCGTAATTAATAAGCTTCGCCAAATGCAGTTTTTCTTGTAGTGTTGGACCCAAATTCAACACAAAACCCTAATTTTATTTTACATATAAATACATAACATCCTCTTCCATCAATCACCTCCATCTTCTTCCCAACATCCTCATCTTCTACAATAAGAAACCATAGCCCACCACATCCTTTCATAATCATCACCTTCACAACAAGAAATCTGGCGAGCTACAGTGATCGAAACTCGGCGAATATTCCGGCGAAACCCACAACCGTCAAGCCATTCCCGCCAGCTCAAGCTATCCGCCGTTCACGCCTTCCAACCTCAGCCCGCCGGCAAATCGCGAGCTTTCACCTTTCCGTCGTTGGTAAGCTCCGGTTCTAGCTCTTAGACGACGTTCCCAACTCGGCCTCACGCCATTGTGCCTGTTTTCCGGCGAAACTCGCACCAACGAGCTCATCCCGCGCCAATAGTCCTAGCTCAAGTGTCGTTGGCCCACACGCAGCTCAGTCCCATCGTAGCCTTCGCGAGCTCGCGTCCTCTGGTCCCAGCAACTCCGACTGACCACGCCAGGAGCCACCACACGCGAGTCCACGCACCGGCGAGCTCGAGTTCTGGCCCTCCTCGACTAGGTCTGCGACTAACACGCCAAGACCGACCTGATTAGTCATAACCCGCCACCACAACTCTACCTCAAGCCTGCTGCACCACCCGGCATCCGTACGATGTCCCGTTGCAGCCTTTCGTGCTTCTCGCGTCGCACCAACATAGAACCGAGCCATTCCCAGGACTAGATTCGAGTTTGCACACCTCAGTCCGGGCAGGTTCAACTTGAATCCGAGCAGCCCCGATCCGGTTTCACCTCACCGGCTCATTTCATTAGCTTTTCTCTTTTTTGGTTTTTCCAATCCGAGCCGATTTGAGGTAAAATGGCCTCAACCTAACTCCAATGGCTTAGATATGCTTAATGAGAGGATATAAAATTAATGAATCGGGTGATATGAGCGATATTTGGGATTTATCGAGCTTGAAGTGTATTTTCGAGCCTTGTTATATAAGTGCGATAAAATGATGAAATAAAATTTATAAAATTTGTCGCATTATCTTGAGGCTTAGGTGAGAAGAAAAATTTTAGGGTTCATTTGATAGACGAACGAGATTATTGAAGTATTTGATCGGTTGAAGCGATTATTGACTGGATGAGTTAGAAGTTGAATTGAGTTGTGATATTTTGACCATAGACTACGTATGTGTTGAGGATGGTGTGGTTTGAATTTCGTAATTTTTGGACACCGATTGATATTGATTAAAGATCGAGACGTTAGCCTCATTTCGCGATATTCTAGAATAATAGCCAGACATTATTTTAGCTGCAGTTGTTGATTATAAAATCATTATAAATCTCATAGAATGTAGTGATTTAAATATTCTCTTAAATGAGTTAGGATTTTTTTTTTCGAGAATCGAACCCTAGTTTTATCCGATTTCGATAACCGGATATATTTCTGGATCCGATTTAAATGACTGAACCCTAGTACCGTCTGGATAATTACTAGTCGTCGTATCATAATTCGTAATGTGTATCATCGTCTCGTGCCCGTGGTCGCCTCTCGTCCGACCGTTGGAGCCGAACCGCCGAGTGCGTGCCCGTGCACCGAGTCCGAGTCAAACCCCGAGTGCGTGCTCATGCACCGAGTCCATCCGACCTACCTTCTACGCACCGTTCCGTTAGCCGTGGTCCAAGCACGCCCCTGCGTCAGTAACCGTGGCACCGTTTCAAACTCGTGCACCGGCTAAGCCGTGTCAGTCGAGTTTGTGCCGGCCCGAGTTGCCACGCCGAACTAGGACCACGGTCAAACCGAGCTGCACATAGTCAAGCGAATGACCGACCAGCTACGGGTGAGCTGTCGGTCCAGTTCAGTTGAACCGATCCGGTCAGTATGGACGGTTCGAGATATATTTCAGATTCAGTCAGATTAAGATTTCAGATATATTTAAGATTTCAGATATAGTTAAGATTCCAGATATATTTAAGATCCATATAATTTTTAGATTTCAGTCAGACTAGATTAAGTCAAATTTTAGTTCCAGACTTAGAAATATTTCAGAGAACTCTAGAATGCCTCAAAGACAATAAATTTTCAAAATCAGCTCGTAAATCTCTAAAATGATTTGAAAGCCAAGTGAGCGAACCTAGACAGCTCAGATAATATAATTCTAGTTTTCAGTTTAAGATAAGTACTTAGAATATATTTTGTGCTTATATATTTTGTAGCTTGTGGAGAGTCGAGCCTCCGACTGCTGCAAACCATTCAGATCTTGCATTTCAGCATATCAGGTGGGGACCCTGTACTGGGTATTACATCTTCTATAATCGCAATACCATGGTTCAGGTATGTATGTGAGATTCCGCCCGCATAGGGGGCAATTACCTAGCAAGAGATCCTTTTTTTGCTAAGTGAACCGAACGCTAGTTGAGATAAGAATTCTAGTACAACTTTGAGTTAAGTGAATTAGGAACTCTAGAGCAGCCTTGAGTTAAGACTAGTATCAGATGATCTTGGAATAATTCTTCCCTATGGGACATTGATCTAGAGATAAGTTTCGTCATAACCAAGTGTTTCGAATCCCCAGTTAGTATCAAGGACTCTAGTGCAGTTGTGAGTTAAGCTCCAACCTTAGAAGTGTATAAGAGTTAGTTTTGCCCTAGTAAGTGGCAACGACCTACAGATTAGGTCCTACAGTTGCTTACCGCGAGCGTTAAGACCAAGTGTCCTTCTCGCTAGTTAAGCAGTCAGTTGAGCAGTAATTATAGATAGCAGTTGTGCATCCGTTATAGACAGTACAATTATTTATACGCTTTTGTGATGTGTTTTATCATATTAGATGTATGCTTAGGTTGTGATGTGTTTTTATGTTGCTTAAGTTGTGACATGTTTTTATCATATTAGATGTATACTTAGGTTCGCGATGTGTTTATCATACCAGAGGTTCTTTTAGTTCGCGATGTTGCAGATATAGTCAGTCAGTCGAGCAACATTTATAGTTAGTCAGTTGAGCAGCAATTATAGTTAGTCAGTTGAGCAGTCATTTATAGTTAGTCAGTTGAGCAACAATTATAGTTAGTCAGTTGAGCAGCAACTATAGTTATCCAGTCGAGCAGAAATTATAGACAGTCAGCTGAACATCGGTTATAGGCAGTCAGCTAAGTAGCAGTTTCAGGTAGTTTGCCGATTTAAATGTTTATTGGATGAATGTCTAATCTGTTAGTAAAATGCTCATCATCATATCGTCTTCTTCCGAACCATTATGTACTTGCATATATGTCGATGTCATGATATGTTATTATATTAGCTGTATATTTCAGTGTCGATTCTGACGAGCACGTAGATTATTTATGCTCACGCCCCCCACTAACCATTTTTCAGGTGACGGTGTCGAGCGTAGAGCGTGAGCCGATGATGTGGTGATGGTCATAGCAAGGATATTTTTAGTAAGCATGTCATGTATATTTTAGCATGTTTGAGTTATTAGGTTTTGTTGATGCATGCTTACATTTGCTTCGGCACTCAGTATTTCAGTATCTATAATTTCAGTCTATGCATGCTTAAATCCTGAGATGTTTAGAGTAATGAATTATACTCGGTTGCATGCCTAGTAGTTTAAAGATATTAAAGATTAAAGATTTAAGATTAAAGTTGAGTAGCATCCCGCATATTAAGGTTAAAGTATTTTTGAAAAATTAATATGAGTTT